TGCCTTGTCCCCGCAGGGTCACAATGAGTCTGGCCCAGCCAAGACGACACCCTGGCCCTTGTAATCGCCCGAGTCTTTACTTTGATTGAGAGATGGGCCTTTCACATCAGGGTACAGGCCGGCACCTGTCCTGCTGCCCTCTCCATTCTGACACTAGACCCGGGGCTGCCCACTAACTCTTGAAACGGAAGCGCCGGTCCTGCACCTCATTGTAATTTAAAGATTATTCGAGAGCCAGAGATACCCGTTTGCAACCAAATGAAGTCGCCAGTATCTAGGTGATAGCCTTCGCACGCATCCAGTTTCATTTCAGAGCCACCGGCACAGACCCAAAGAGCCGGAGTTTGCCGACTGATGCCCTAGGACGCCAGCACTGAAGTGAGCCCCGAACCTGAGTTTTGTCCAGTGTCCCCCTTTCCCCAGGAACAGACCAGCCCGGAGGCCAAAGGGAGGAAGGGGGCAGTGGACCTGGAGCAGAGCTGGGACCCCGCCTGAGTGGCCTCTTTCCCAGGCCTCCTTTCTCAGGCTGGCCATGTGTTAGGCACTGCGCACACACGACGGGGACGATAGGCCCTTATCCAAACACACAGGCTGCCGCCCGGCAGCCACACAGCAGCTGGATAGGTGAAGGCCTGCACCCTGTTGCATCACCGCTTGTGGGAGAATGTGTTGAACAGAGTCTCTTATGGAAATGTTAGGAAATTAATCAATCTGAAGGCCTTTGGGTATAGTCGCTCAGTTGCTGACTCAGCACGGCTCCCGTGGATGGCTGGGCCTCTGGCCATGGCCCTGCAGCAGCCTCAGCCCCAGGGCAGAGCAGGAGTGTAGCCTCCGCCCACCTCTGCTCAGTCAAGGGCTGGGGACCTGGGTTGAGAGAAATTGGGTCTCCCGGGGGACCTTTGAAGAGCAACAAGATGTCCCTCTCCTGTGGTCGGGTGGGGTGGAGTGGAGTGGGGTGTCCTTCTTGCCCACGTGATTTTGTGCTGGAGCAGCAGTCTTATCATGGGTCCTCTGCAGCAGCCCTCCTGCTGGGAGGGGCCGGGGAGGGTGGGTCCACCACATGTTCGGCTTAGAGAAACACCCCGAACATCTCCATGAAGACCCCTATCCTGGAAGTCTGTCCGTCTGCGGGAAGACTTGGACGGCTGCTAACCTTTTGTTTAGCAGGGTCAGAGATTCAGGCCCACCCAGAAACCCTTAACAAGAAAGGTCTGTGTGCACACGCACACACACACACACACACTTGCATGGGGTCTCCATGCGTTTTGTTTGGCTGTAGACCAGCAGGTGTGAGAGGCAGCCGCAGCCTGCTCAGGCCCCAGCCTGGTCACAGTGTCAGTAAACTGCCCTGCCTCCACCATGCACACCCCTGCCCTCTTGCTTTGAGAGAGTATTATACATACTTTTTCAAACCAAATGTTAGTGGAATTTTGCCCTTTGAGAAATACTGATTGTGGGCCCTTCAAAGGTGGTACCCGGGCACTCAGTCCTTCCCACCATCCCCTCCTGCATTCATTGGCTTCATCAAAGGAAAGTGTGTATTTCTTAGGGTTCCCTGCTTGTGTGCCACCATTCCTGCCCACCATAACCATCCTGGCCAGTCCTGACTTGAAACCCACCACCCAAATCAAACCCACCGCCATCCAGTCAAAGCCGACTCAAAGCAATCCTACAGGACAGGATAGAACTGGCCCCTGTCGGTTTCCAAGACAGCAACCATTTACAGGAGCAGCAAACCCCATCGTCCTCCGAGGAGCGGCTGGTGGTTTCGAACGGCCGACTGGTTAGCAGCCACCTTTGCCTTGCGAGAGCGAGCTTGGGGCGGAGGCAGCCTGCCAGGGCGGATTTGCAGTTGCTTGTGAGCAGGGGGCTTTGGATTCCGCGGGGCCTCCCAGGCCAGGCGGACCGTGCGGAGCTTCGCTGTGCGTGTGTTCCAGGGGGCTGCGGGGCCATGTACGAGGTCCACATCGAGTCCGAAGACTTCAAGGCGAAGAGGCCTGTGCAGCAGCACCAGATGGTTAACCAGGTCAGTGGAGGCTAGGCGCTCTGACCCTCCCGCCGTCGGCACCCAGAAGGCCCACCCAAGGCACCGGGGGCTTCTACCGCCCCTCTGTCACTATCCATTCTGAGTCAGAAGGGTGCCCTCTGACTTATTAGGTGGCTCTATGAAACAAATGTACTTTCCTGCAGCCTGGAGCTAGAGGTGTTGGCCACATTGATTCTTTCTGCCGGCCTTTCGAGACACCATTCAGAAGGGGTTAGGGATCAGCCCCAGCCTGCCGTCGTGTGACCTCACAAGTAGCATAGAAGAAAACCCCAGCTTCTAACCCGAACACTGCCAACCAGTTGATTCCGACTCTTAGCAACCCTGTAGGACCCAGTAGAACTGCCCCTGTGGGTTTCCGAGACTGACTGAAAGCCCCGCCTTTTGCCAGAGGAGCAGCAGGGGGATTTGAACGGCTGACCTTGTGATTAGCAGCCCCAAGGTTACCACTGGGGCTCCCATTTCTAAACAGGGTCATATTCATAGGTACAGTGTGAGGATTTCCCTGGGTTTTGAGCTGGTTCAAAACAGTTCTGTAATTGTCATCTTGAACCAAGACTGTGTACGTGCTTGTGCTGCAAAGCAACCGAGTCTGCTGGTCACGTTATTTTGACCCAAATAGGAAACCAGCGGCTGTGTCTGGCTCAAAGATGCTGCGGTGGCCAACCAGGGCGCTCTGAGTGGTCGTGGCACCCTAGAGTCCTGCTGGTAACCCAGTCTCCCACATGCAATCCCCCCCCCCCCAAACCCCTTGCCATCTGGTGGATTCCGTCTGAAAGCCGTCCTCTGTAGTGTTTCCGCGAATGTAAATCGTTATGGGAACATCTTTTTCCCCGGAGCTGTGGGTGAGTTTGAACCACTGACCTCAAGGTTAGCAGTCCAACTCTTACCTAGCAGTATCACCAGTGCTCTGCTGACCACTATTTCGGTTGGAGGCATAAGGAATCTGGAGGGATTGTTTTCTCTTCAAAGAAGCACAGTCACCTCTCGTTTTTTATATTTAATAAGCATTTCAATTACTTTATAGCCAAAAGTGGGGTAATCAAAGCATAGAAGACCTCCGTTTGAGTTTTAAAAAGATAATGGGGTGGGCTTTGTACTCCTCATACTTGAGTGTGTTCAGAAGCCCCCAGGGGACACCCAAGGAGGCAACAACAGCGTAGGTGGGAGTGGGAACTAGGTGTGGGAGGGAATGCTCACTGCCTTTTTACACTCTCTGGTCTTTTGACCCACATTAGGGATCTGAAACAGTTTTTTATTTTAATGCTTTTCACCAAAAAGCAGGGGGGTTGCTTAAACAGCATATGCAAAACTACAGGTAGGGAGAGTTGCACGGGCCTCCCATAGGGGCCCCTTTTTGTGGCCTCAAGAACAGAAGGAATGAGGGTGCTCCTTTCTCGCCCAGGCCCTGAAGGAAGAAATCAAAGGCATGCACGGACTGCGCATCTTCACCTCCGTCCCCAAACGCTGAGCCACAGACGCCTGCTGCAGCCTCCCACCAGAGACCCTGGGTGACCGTGACTCACCACCAGGCTCCCCCACACACTGGCCCAAAACTTGACCTGTTTTGTTCATAGCCAATTCCAAGTTATCACTCTAGAGAGAGATGTTACCTACTTCGATGTCCGTGAAAGGCACCAGGCATGGAAGCTGAGAAGGTGATGGGGACTGCTTCCAGGGCCTTCTGCCAGAGGCGGACGGAGTGCCAGCTTCTGTGTCTCATGAAGACACATTCTTTACATAGCTGTATCTATAGGTACATATAATAAATACATTTATATATACATGCATATATGTGTGATTCATGTATACCTGTGTGCATGCATGTGTAGCTTCGGTGTGTGTGTGTGTGTGGTTGTTGCTGAGCGTGTACACAGCGGAACATACACCATTTCCACAGTGGCTGCGTGTACAACTCAGAGACTGTTTACATTCTTTGAGTTGTGCAGTCATTCCCCCTCCTTTCCTGACTGGTTCCTCCGCCATGCACACGGACTCACTGCCCCCTAAGGGCCTTATCTCTGGAGTTGCTGCTGTCAAATTGATTCCGAAGAAATAGTCCTTACAAGGGCACAATGCTCAAGGTGGATCTTTTAATTAAGAAAGATAGTCTGTTTCTTTCCTTCTGCCCTTGAAACTGCTCAGGCCTGACCCCGAGAGAGGGGAAGGGAGGGAGAGAGGACCAAGGAAAGAGAGTCTCCATTTTGCTGTTACCTAGGTTTATCACGCTTTCCCTTCCCCTCCAAACTTCATGCTCACATGGCCTAGGACCCCACTTTCCGGCTCCTTGGAGTGGGTTTGGGGCTGCCAGCATCTGGTCCTCTCCCCTCCTGCATCTGCGTTTAACCCTTAGCAGTGTATCTTGCTGGGAGAACAGAGCCCACCTCCCACTACAGAAGACAAGACCTGCTTCCCAGCCTCCTTTGCATCCAGAGCACAGGCATGTGATCTAGACTTAGCTAATCAGGTGGACCTGCCCAAGATTTTGAACTCAGCCCGTAGTGCCGAGAAGGGAGGGGTGATGCTTCATTCTGGCAGCTGTGGTGACGTCCAGGTGTGTGGGGGTGACAGCAGCAGGGCTGCTGAGCAGCTGTCCTGGAGTCCGAGGTGGTGGCTGTGGTATGTGGTTCTGCAGGGTTCCCATAAATCCCAGGACCACCCCCATAAGTCCGAGGATCACCCCCATAGCTCTTGATTAAATTCTGCTCAAATCAGCCTGATTCGTTTGTGGCTTGCACCTGGGAGCCGTAACTGACTCGCTGGCCCCTTAGACCAAGGTTCCTGCCCCACCTCTACGGAGCAGCTTCCTGAGAACTCCAAGCCCGCTGCCCGGCCGCCCTCTGCACTGCAGTGCCTCCCGGTGGCCCTTCTGACTCCGAGCTCATACAACCACCCCCCAGGAAGCCAGTGGCTGCTTCTGAAGGCGCCTCCTTAAGACTTGTGGATATGGGCCCCAGGCTTTTGGTTGGCACAGGTTCCAAACGTCTGCTCTGGTCACAAACCCAAAAAGCCACTGCCATGGGGTTGGTTCCGGCTCATAATGACCTGATGTATAGGGTGGCACGGAACAGAGAGCCTCAACTTTCTCCCACGGAGCAGCGGCTGTGCTTGAACTGTTGACCCTGTGGTTATCAGTCCAAAGTTTACCCTGCTGGGAGAGTCCCTCTGGCTAGTGCTTGTAATAGTCCCTGCCTGGACATGGTGGGGTGGGGGACTTGCTCATGGTTTCCTGCCATTTCTGTGCAAAGGAGTTGAGAAGATGGGATCACACCGAGAACTGGTCTGGAGGACGCCAGCCAGCTCTGTAAGCACCAGGTGTAGCAGAGGATGGTGCTGGGAAAGGGAATCCCCTGAGACGAGTCCAGCAGAACAGAGTCCAGAGTCAGTCAGTCACTCAGATTACCTGTGGAGCCAATTCACCACCAGCACCACCACCCGGCCCTCCGCGCTGCAGCGGCTGGACTTACAGCTTTACTTCTAAAGGATAGAATGAAGTGGAGTAACAGCCTGCGCCTTCAGACTGGACGTGAACTCACTGTGGCCCCTCCCCGCTCTCTTGCCCCTGTCTCGGATTGCTTGCTCATGAGGACACTCGGGAGCCTGCAGTCCCTGGGTTGAGGCACAGACCTCTTGCTAACAGCCAATGCACCAGGTCTCTTGTCCATAGCTAGCAAGGAAGTGAGGCCTCGTGCCAAGGCCAGAGCCATCCTGGCACCCCCCCTTTCTGCCACAGTCCCACCTCAGATGACTGCAGCCCTGGTGGGTCTTAGCAGCTGCCAGAGCCCAAACTGCCCAGCTAAGACCCACCCCAACTCCTGACCGGCAGAAACTGTGAAATAATGTTTGCTGTTCTAAGTCTGGGGTAGGAGACTGGGGCTCTCGATATGAAGGGGTTTCAACAAGCTTGTGGGGAGACGAAAAGATAATGGGATTTTTCCAGGTTTTTTGAAGCCCCCTCATGTGAATGAAGAAAGGGCTGGAGAGCCAAACTGCAGGTGAGGTGAGGGGACAAAGAAGCCCGGTGTCCCTGGTCCCCTCCTCATCTGCTTGTTTTATCTCTCGCCTTAGTCTGGTCCCCACCACGTGGTGGGGACCATACAGCCAGTAGCTCTCTGTTTTTACATAGTACTGTAAGAGCAATTGTGAGGACGGCGCAGGACCGGGCAGTGTTTCCTTCTGTCATGTGTCAGCACCGACAAGGGCACCTGAACCGCGGCGAGGTCCAGGCCACGAGAAGGGCGACTTCCCAGGCCTAGGGCAGAGCTTCAAGGGAGGCCTCTGAGTGGCCTGTCTTGAATCAGGAGTGCCGGCTAGTCAGCAGAGAACCGGGAATTACAGCCTCCGTTTGCAGTCTGGTTTGGACTGGAGGGAGGAGCAGTTGCCGAAAGAAATGAGGGGCTTTCATCTGCAGAAGTGTGGGGGGCGGGAACTTTGTTGCCGGTTTTCCTAATGCTACTGGACAGGAACGGGAAACAGGATAGCCTCGCCTGTAAGAGCAATGCTAAGGGAGCTTTGGGTTAAAGAATGAAAAGGACGAATAACGTCTGACAAGAAGACCCTCTTAAGCTGATCCTGACAACTGTCAGCAGTTACCTGGCTGGACAGACAGGGGCAAGTGCCATCCTGGGTGAGAGTCATTATCAGTCTTCAGGACACTGATGTGGACGTTACGCTCAAGTCTTGTGTGAAAGAGGAAAAGGAAATTCGGTTTGGAGGTCTCAGCAGGAGCTAAGCTAATGCAGCTTCAAATAATGCAGAACAAGAAGTGCCCCGATTCTCTTGCTTAGCCAGACGATTGGGTGCACTGGAAGTACCTCCTGATCTGGTCCAGCCCCCAGCCATCACTCAGCGATCCCCAAAAGATGCTATGACTGTCCCTTGGGAGAATATTGTGACCCAGTGTGAGGCCAAAGGGAACCCTCCTCCAAGCTTCTAGAACCGTCAAGGGACTCACTGTGACCCAGATCAGGACCCCGTGGTCACGAAGGCATTGACCAGGGCACAGCAAGGCATGAGCACGGGGCTGCCATCTCTAGGACGACTGTCACCCATCATCCCGGTCACCATGGTGGACTGAAGAAAAGCCAGCACCAACGACACTTCGAAATGGTCGCTCTTTCCTGCTTCCCAACGGCATGACCACCCCCTAAAATACTCCGCAGACAATGCCTTTGAAAGAGCTCCTCAGAGTGAGAGAGGCCCCCAGGGTCTAAATGGAGACCTGCATGTTTCCAATATCCTCCCAGAAGGCAGCTGGGAGGACTGTATGTGCTGTGCAGCAGAAGTGGGGGTGCTGTCAGTGGATGAACTGAATGACACTACAGCTACTACGTCGAGTGACACTGAGTTTTAAGGTGCTGGACCGGGTAAAGAGAGGCTGTCCACATTTTTAACATCAGAAGGTGTATTAGTCTAGGTACTTTAGAGAAACAAACCCACAGCAACTCAATGTGTAAGAGAGTTTTATGTAAAGAAAGTGCGCATCACGAAAACATCCCAACCCAATGCTGCCCAAGCCCACAAGTCCAACA